TATCTAAACAACTTTATAAATTATCATTTCTCTCTTAACATTTTATTCGGTGATTGGCTTTTATAAGAATACTATTAATATGAAGATATATTATTCATTTAGTAGAAATCCCAGTACTTTTGTATCTCTTGAATATAATAAATTTCTCTGTTCTTGTTAACTTTTTGCGGGGTTTGAATTTTTTCTATAATGTCACTTATTGGACACAGATTCAAATCGTCTTTTTCAGGCCATTTCCAGTTTTTAAGTGATTTTTGCATTGATTTTAGTAATATACCTTCTTTAGATATTGATTCTACCTTTCCGACAAAATAAGAACCTTCATATAAAAATATAACATAGTCTCCAATATTGTAATTTTCTCTATTAATATTTTCAACCTGTAGGTTCTCATCATCTTTGTTATTGTCAGAGGCACCTTCAAATGTGTCACTCGTTATATAGCTGTTAGAATCTTCACTAGGTTCTGGTTCAGGTAGAATTGTTCTTTTTCTCTTTTTTGAATTATTGAGTCTTTTTTTATTCATTAACCTATTTGAAACATTTTTTTTAGCTTTTATATTTTCAATTCCTTTCTTTTCTGGTGTATCGGTCAAAATTCTGGATCTTCCTTTTTGTCTTCCTTTTCGTGTTTCTTTACGAGGCTCGACTTTTGGGTAAGGGCGTATTATACCTGGCAATATAAAAGTTGGCAATTCTCTATGTATATTTTTGGAACCTGAAGCAGTCGGCTGACTAACAGACACCTGATCAATTTTGGTGGGTGATTTTCCAGTAAGTGGACGATCAGAATAGGATGCGGGCATAAAATCAGCATCTATGTAGATGTTTTCATTCAAAGGATGGAAACCAGTTGAACTAAAACCTTTACAAATATTGTTAGGTGTGAAGGCAAGAGGAAAAGCTTTTCTCACCAAGCCAGCAATATCATATATAGTTAATGGTTTTACCCCACGACCTGGAGACATTAGTAACTCATTAGCTGCTGTATTAAAATAAGTCTTGAAAGGCCCAAAAACTGTCTTGTCTAATGGTTGCATATGATTACTAGTATGTGGATGTAGAGTAATAAGCTTTACACCATTATCTTTGGCTTTTTGTATTGCGGGTACTGAAATATGACTTTCATGATTGTCCATTATGAGAATGACAGGCTGTTCTATGGTAGGCTTTGCATATTTGATAAAATGCTGGAGGAATTTCACAAATATGGACTCGTTTGACCAACCAGATGGGTTGGTAACTCCAATACTGCCTTCAGGAGCACCAGTTATCATAAAATCTTTAAAGTTTACACGAGGGAATATCAGCATGGGTGGAATAAAACCACCACCTGCATTAATAGCTGCTATCATTGTAACCGTCGTTCCTCTTTCAGTGCTAGTCATTGACCCAACTTGCTTCATTCCAAGAGGTGCTAGTATTTTTGGAGGAACATGGACAGTGGACAATCCAGTTTCATCTAAATTCCAAATATCAGTGGCTTTTATGTCAGATGGACATTGAGACAGAACTTTCTTAAAATTGTCATATGTTAAACTCACAGTATGTTTGTTAAACGCCGAAGAGCGAGCCAAACTAGTAGCTTCAGGCTTTCTTAAAGACAATTTCCTTTGGTATCGCTTCCTAAATAATCGCAGCCAATAATCTCCAGCCATTTTGTTTGTATCCCAGCTCTTAGGGTACTTTTTTCCATTCACTTTTGCAAATTGGTAAGCAAGTATTTTCACGTCTTTTAGAGTCAATCCAAATTGCAAGTGTGCTGCGTCTTTAATATAGTCCACCAAACTTTGCTCTGCGGTGAGATCAAAAACTTGATTAACTGCAAGGTTTTCATGTAACTTGCTTACATCTTTACCAATTTCCAAACAGTGCTTTAAATGACGACGCAAAGTTGTTCTTGGTAATCCAAAATGTTTGGAAGCACCGAAAGTGGTGAATTTTTTATCCTTAATCATTTTAATGGCATTTGTCAGATCATTCACATTAATTGGTGTCCTTTTCTTCAGTTCTTTACTTCTAGGCATGATTTCTGAAATAATAGATAAAAAAATAAAGATATTTAATTAGGAATATATTACACTAGATATATATAATGTCGAAAACAGCAACTTTAAAACAACAACAAATTTAATTTTCAAAAATAAAATTTACTTTTTTTTTACCTAATATTTAGATTTACAAATATTTGTTTATCTTATTTTATTATAAATATGTTTGACATAAATAAACATACACTAAATACCTTTAACCAAGAAACGTGGAGGGAAAAAAAATGTCACAAAGAATAACTTATTTAACAATAGTCTATTTAAAGGTCCTGTACTCCAGCAAGATAACAGATATAACAAAATAATATTTAAACAGCTGACCACAAATAAATTTACAATAACATCCATCATCAACCCTGGTTTTTAAAATAAAACTTCACTGTAACTTTAAACAGTTGTATAAATTTTTTTTATAAAAATTACTTTTATAATTGTAGTATTTAATATTATCAAGTACTACAATTATAAAAATTATATTTATAATTAAGGTAAAATAAAAGAAACTGATCTAAAACTTACACCGAAACCTTTCAAACAACAACCAAAAAAACACTACTTTGAATAAAATAAAAATTTACTGTACTTTTTTGCTTAATTAATTATTTTTCTCAACTAATTAAATAAAAATTACAGCAACAAACATGAGTATTAAATATTAGTATGAAATATCTAAAATATTAGTATAAAATATTATAAACTTATACTTAAAAAAACGTTAATAAAATAAGGCAGCTTGTAAAACTTACTATATTCTATTAATTACTTTATTTTTGTATGTATGTACTATTGTACATACATATAATACACTAACCTGTTTGTATTTTACATTAAATAATTAGAAATTTTTCAAACAGAGATATAGATCGAACAACACTCAAAAATGTAGCAAATCACAACAAAGTTACAAAATGCAAAGTCAAAAACAAAATATTATCTTTAAAAATTTTGAATTATATAGTGTAAAATACACACAGCCTGTGTGTATTTTAAATAGTAAATATTGTTCAAAAACTTCTATTATATAATTTCGATTTAGTGATATTATCTCACTTACTTTTCTAGAAATTTCCGTGTCAAAAAACACCAAGGCCAGAGTACAACACCCAGTTGTACCTTGGCCACTGACCAAGGAACAACTGGTCGACAGTGACCGAGGTACAACACCACTCAAACTTCAACAAAACGATGAATTTTAAATAGTTTCAAAGTTATTTATCTCGTAAGTTTTTTATTGTTTGGACACTTGTTGAATATAATAATCCATAGCATGTAAAAAGTAATTGACTATTATAAAACGTTTAAAACTATTAGACTTCAAAATATATTAGAAATACTTACTTTTTTCCCGAAAAAAGGTTTTAACGTCGATTACAAAAAACACCGGCATAATAGCGGTATGTGACGAACTTCAAATTGAAGAGTCGGTTGTGATGTACCAAATATCATAGACAGTAAAATTTAATATTGTGCGATCATTTGAAACGAGCCAGGTGGCCTAGGTACACATAGTGCCAAGGTTCAACAGGTTCTATATATATATATATATATATATATATATATATATATATATATATATATATATATATATATATATATATATATATATATATATATATATATATATATATATATATATATATGTATATATATATATATATATATATATATATATATTTATATATTTATATATATATATATATATATATATATATATATATATATATATATATATATATATATATATATATATATATATATATATATATATATATATATATATATATATATATATATATATATAAAACGTTTTTCTAGAATATTCAGAGTATAAACTGAGTATATACCTATTTCGATTTACACAATTACACAAATGTCTTTTGCCGTTTTTTATAACAAAAAAATTGTTAGAAATTTTACCAAATTTGAGTAAGAAATATTTCGTTCCTTAAAATTTGAGGTAAAATATTAGATATTTGATCACATCACGTACATTAATAAACTATTTGCCTAAGTGCATAATAGCTTGCTAATACACATAAATTTACGAAAGAAAATATGCATTTTTATTGCGTTCTTTAAATAAGATTTTCACAAATTAGCAAAGTGAAGTGTACCCTTAAATTACTTTTTCTGGTAATAAAACTTTTATTGCTGAATTTTTTTAGTCAGCAATAAAAGTTGCCGACTCCAGTGTCCAGTATTAACTGGACATTGGAGTCGACAAAATTGAATTGAAAATTGGCAGTTGCCAAATATTTTTTTTGGGGGTGATAAGTTAGTAGGTCTAAGTCGGCTAAAAGCATAGACGTTAAATCCCTCCCCCGATTTATCATTTAAAATTACTTCCGGACGTCCTGCTACTAACACAAAAATTTAAAAGTTCACAATTTTATTTTAACTAAAGAAACTATCTACAATAATCAAAAATATCACAATGGTTCATTTTTCGTTATGATTTTAGTTATTCAAAAACCTTCTATCAAGCAAATTAAGGATCTTTTTTTATTATTATAATATTGGTCAACTTGTTCTTTAAATGTTTTTGGCATCTTTAATATAGTCGAAAGATCTTTATAATATTTTAAACTTTCTTGTGTGGCCAAGAAACTTTCTTCATAACATAAGACGATAGTGCTTCAAGAAGTAGTTTGAAAAAATGTTTATCATCTGTAAAACTATAAATATATTTTAAGAAACATCTAATAACCTCTATCTGCTTGTCTTTTAATTTTTTCAGTTTTAAAAATTCTTTTCGATAACACCTTTGATCTTTGAAACTTTTCTAAATAAGGATTTTTTACGATTTTATATACCTGTTATAATTTTAAAAAAAGTTCATTATAATACATAAAATATCAAACATAATTAAATTCCTAAAAATTAAATAAAATCATAATGAAGTAAAGGTCCTCAATTACAAAATTAAAAAAAAAAAAAAAAAAAAAAAGTTATTTTAGATTGTATTTGAACTTGATGGTTTATTATTTGCATACAAAGAAATCACATTCAAATCAAATAAAAAAGTAATGAAAAACAAAAGTTAAGTAACTTACTTGTCATCAGCGTCAACACTTTGTTTTTGTAGTAGAATCGCAAAAAACCTTTTTTCTTTTAGTTAAGTTATAAGTTTTCACGTTTTTTTAAAAGAAAAAAGTTCTAGGTGTCTTCTTTTAGAAAATTGTTAATTTTACATTGTTTTTTTTTTTACGTTTTTTAATTTTTAAATTTTTTTTTACATTTTTTTTAAAATCGCAGTGGTAATGGAAAGTGTTAATCAACTTTCAACTTTAAAAACTTATATAGATTTACTTTTGTGAGAGCGCAAAAAAAATATGTTTTATTTTACATTATATAAGTAATACTATTTATTTTATATTATTATTTTATTTAAAGTATTTATATAAAATATAATTTATATAAGTTTTTAAAGTTAAAATGTACATTTTAACTAATAGGTTATACAACATCGTTTTGGTTGAAACTTTATTTAATTTATTTACATATTGACTTATGTTGTCGAGTTTTTTATCAAAACAATCTTGCTGCATATCATTTGTTTCTCTTTTTTTATTTAAAATTAACCCGTTGTTAAATGCTATTTTATATCTTGTACCTGTTTTGTGTATATTCCTATTGTTAAATGTGTCATCTTCTGAAAATTGATTAACACTTTCCATCTTACTGCGATTTTAAGTTTTTACTTTGATAGCAAAGTAAAAGCGTATTTATAGATTCGGTTTTCTATTGAACCCATGACTCTCAGTATAATTGGCGTCATGGAAATTCTTACAAAAAATAATATTTGATAAATTATTTGAAGAACTTCTCTTAAATCTCAGTTATTTGATAAACATTAACTGATCACAATGTTTTAAGAATCAAATATCAAAGTTTTTTTTACAAAGTATAAACGAAAAGGATTCTTTCAAACAATGTCATTCAAACAAATATGTAATCCAAACAACAAACGGCTAAGTTTTCAAATAATGCTTTTTTTTTGACCTTAACAAGTTTGTAAAATCAATGAATACTTTTGTTACATTTTTATTAATAAAAAGCAATGAAACTTGATACGATTCAAAAATATTCGCTACTCACACAAACTTTTGAAATACTCTCTAATTTTTATTTTTGTAGAAAATATGAAAGTCAATTGACATTTAATTAATTTAAAACCTTATTTTTAATAAATAAAAAATTGTTATAAAATATACATGCACATTTATAGTTTAAAAAGACTTAAAATTATACAAAAAATTCATTTATTTAGCAATTAGAAGTTCAACTATATTTTTTTTAACCTGCATTTTTTATAGACTTTTTTAACCCGCATTTTTATAGACTTTTTTAACCCGCATTTTTATAGACTTTTTTAACCTGCATTTTTATAGACTTTTAGTATAAATATCGTTTATACTATATTGTATAAACGATGTATAATATAGTATAAACATCGTTTATAGTATATTATAGTATAAACATCGTTTTGTTATAATAACTTGAAAAAGTTATTTAGTTATAACAACTTCGTTTTAAAAAAGAATTTGTGATAACTAAGTTTTAGTAAAGAGTTATTATTAACGTCATTATTCAATGTGTATGTTTATTTTGGGTAAGTTATTTTTATTTGAAACCTCACGCATTTTTTTTTAATATACATTGTATAAGTTCTTTTTCGATCTCTGTTAAGCTCCTTTTAGTTTAAAGAGTTATAAATAGCTTGAATTATAATTTGAGTGCTCCAATGCTTTTTAAAAATTTATAAGTTTAGTTTTTCATAATAAGTTTGTTTAACTATTTTCTTATCTGTTTAATTTTATTTTAAAATATTTTACCGAGGCGCCACTGGAATTTATACTGTTTGTTATTATAACTTACTATAATGATAAATTGTGATGAGTTATAAATTAGTTTGCTTACTTACTTACAGTTTATATCGATAGTCGACATTCAGCAAAAACTACTTTTTTTGAGATAACCTAAAAGTTATTAAATGGGTTGACCCCTTAAAATTTTTTGTTTTTATTTAAATTTTTCTCTTCATTACAATATTTCCATAGCTGAAAAAAATTGTAATTTTTGAGAAAAAAATCTAAAAATTGAAATGTGTGTGAAATGCAAGTGTATAAAAATATAAAATGATATCTCTAAAACATAATTTTTTTCATTTATTATAGTTATTCAGATTTTTTAGAAATTTTTTGCTGATATCTAATAAGTGTTCATCGCATTTCCTAAAAGAAAATGTACATGTATATCATATTTAAAGGTCTGTCAAATATACCCGACTTTTATATCTGTATATATATATATATATATATATATATATATATATATATATATATATATATATATATATATATATATATATATATATATATATATATATATATATATATATATATATATATATATATATATATATATATATATATATATATATATATATATATATATATATATATATATATATATATATATATATATATATATATATATATTAAGAAAAGTACAATATCAATACCAAATGCAACAAAAATTAAAAATACTTTGTTAAATGACCCAAATAAAATTGCTTTTGAATTTAATAAATTTTTTCTTCAATTGAAACAAGCTTATAAAATTCCATTTTAAGGACAAATCATTTGATAAATTTATAACATCACCTAGTTTAATTTTAAATTTTTAAACATAACATATAGCGCATTTTAAGCAGCATTTCATTCGTTTAAACAAATTAAGGAGATTGGAGCTAATTGCACCACTGGAAATATTATATTAGACTCCTTGGACGAGTTTAAAGACACGTCAAAGAATGGCGCGTTCTAATGAACAAGCCATCTTCTAACTTACACGTAGTATTTCTGATTCTTTTTAAAATTCTCATTATACCCTAAAAGTATTCATCGATTTGTCTAAAGCTTTTGATACTGTCGATCATCACATTTTATTAAAAAATTTAGAACTCTTAAAGTTTCATGATAAATCCCTTAGCTGGTTCAAAAGCTACATTAGTAATCGTAAGCAGTTTGTTAATATCCAAGACGCCTTTGTTAATGAATGCCTTTGTTAATGAATGTAACAAGTGGTGTTCCACAGGGATCCATAGTTGGGTCCCTTTTATTTTTAATATCTTATTTTTATTTTTAATATATTGGGTCCCTTTTATTTTAAATGATCCTAACAAAGTCTCTAGCTTAACCACTATAATTTTTGATGATGACACAAACCTATTCAAATCTCATGAAAACATAAAATACATTTTATTATTATGAAACAAAAATTAAATAAAATCTCATAATGGTTTTGATATTGATAAATCAAAATGGCACTTTTTAACGCAATGTCCGGAAAAAAATGTTCACCAATACGATGCCCGACCTCTGTTTTGATAATGCAACACTAAATAGGTGAATAGTTACAAAACTTCTTTGATTTCTTGCAGACGAAAGCTTATCCTGGAAACAACAAATCCATAATATCTACATGAAAGTTGCGAATAGTGCAAAATTGAATAAAAAGTTAATCTATCACAATCATTCTCATATTTGATAGTATCAATATTAATAACTATTAGCAATGTTTAGAGCCTGTAACAAGAATTTTTTTTTTTTTGACCCACCCTAACATATATATATATATATAATATATATATATATATATATATATATATATATATATATATATATATATATATATATATATATATATATATATATATATATATATATATATATATATATATATATATATGTATATATATATATATATATATATATGTTAAATAAACAACTAATAAAACAACTATATTATTCGTTTGTCCATCGCCATTTAAATTATGCAAATATTTTATAAGGAGTCGCGCACAAAACTAGACTTAAATCTCTTGATCAGCATCGGAAACACGCAGCTCGCTTAATTAATTTTGTAAAACGTTTTTCAAATTCAAAACCACTTCTGAGAGAAATGAAAGCTTTATATGTATACAAAGGAAAAGATTATAATAATTTATGTTTGTTTAAATGTAAAATGTTTGTTTAAATGTAAAATATTATGTTTGTTTAAATGTAAAAATCATTTATCTTCTGACATATTTATAAACTTTTATAATGTAAAACACTTGAACAAATATGAAAAAAATTTAAACAACTAATTATTTCATCTCGAGAACCTTATTTATGGAAAAAAATAGTTTTGTCAAATTTTGGTTTTAAAGTATATAAAACAAAAATTAAATAAAGTTGTTTTTTTAGCAGATTTTTTTTTTGTTTCTAGTTCTTTTGTTTTATATACTTTATCCAGTATTTTTATATTATAAAATGCACAGTTATATATAGTTTATGTTGATTTATTTTTATTGGTTAACTTGATTTTATAGTTATTATTATTATATTTGATATTGTTAAAGGCTTCATAATAAGATCGTATGATCTTCTGAAAATCATGCCAATTATATATATATATATATATATATATATATATATATATATATATATATATATATATATATATATATATATATATATATATATATATCAAATATTGTATATAAAAAACTTGCCTAGTGGACACGGCGATCTCCATATTACGTCTAAAAGACGTTATTTTAGGACGGAATAAAGACGTGTTTTTTAGACGTCTAAAAGATGTGATTTTAGGACGTTCATAACTAGTGCTAAATGGAAACGCCAAATGACGTTTTTAAAAAACCTAATTTAGCTGTCCTCATTTCGACGTATATTTCGATGTATATATCTTAATTTCGTAATTTTGATGTATATATCTATATATATCTATATATCTATATATATCTATATGTATATATATATATATATATATATATATATATATATATATATATATATATATATATATATATATATATCAGATATTTCAACAATGATTAAAAAGTAGGTATTTTGCGAACCGATATATCAGATCATTTCCCTATATTCCTAAAATTAGATAATACAAACTCTGAAAAAACTTTAACCGCACAAAGAGTAATTAGAAAACGCATTTATAATGAGGCTAACCTTAATTTATTCAAAAATCAACTTTCATTACTACACTGGAATAACATAAATTTAATTGATAATGCTAACAATATCTATGAGTCTTTTTTCAAAACATTTTTTTCTGTATACGATGCTAACTTCCCAATCATTGAAAATAAAATAACTACTAAGAGCTTAAATACACCCTGGAGGGTGTATTTAAGCTCTTAGTAGTTATTTTATTTTCAATGATTAGGAAGTTAGCATCGTATACAGAAAAAAATGTTTTGAAAAAAGACTCATAGACTAAGGGCTTTAAAAAATCGTCTAAAATTAAGCAAAAACTATATATAAATTTTTTGAAAACAAAAACACCTAAAAACGAAAAAATTTACAAGGACTACAAAAACCTATTTGAAAAAATTCGCAAAAATCTAAAAAAAAATTATTACTCCCAATTACTCAATACATTTAAAAATGACACAAAACGCACATGGCAAATAATGAATGAAATTATTGGAAAACAAAAATCATGCTCAGATTTTCTGCCACAAACGGTTAGAGTCGATAACAAAAGTTTATATGAGCCAAGAACTATAGCTCAAGAATTTAACAAATTTTTTATCGATATAGGTCCAACACTTTCTAAAAAAATCCCAAACACCAAATCTTTATTTACTGATTTTCTAGTACCCATTGATAATTGCATTGGTTCAGTTGAGTTGTCTTCTGAATTGTTGTTTGAAGAGTTTGAAAGAGCCTT